ATAAACATACATATTTAAAATACGATGAATCACTTAATGGTTGGCAAGTATTTAAAAATTTTGGTAACATTTCCATTTCAGCATCAACGCCCCCACTCAACGTAAACTCAGCAAGTAATCTCGTCCGACTTGAATGCTAGAAAGCAAGCGTATACAATTAACTGCAAATACTATTAGAGATTAATTTGCATATATACTCACACTCACCTTGCTCACACACTAATCCCTCAAATGGCTTCGACTAAGCAATCAAGACATGAACACGCTGGCGAATATGATGGCGAGCCCGGCTGTCATACACTGCACGAGGTTAACGCCATGTTCCGCCACTATTGGGACCCTACAAAATATTGGACATGTGAGGAACAAGGACGTCCAGCCAAACTACAACGCTGTCCACAATCTCATCTCTACATGGATTCACAAAACCAATGCGTTATGTATACCGAATGGAAATGGACAGATCCCGCCGAGCCGCCAAGCCGTCCGAAAAGCGCAAAAAGCACGTGAGATCGCTTGGAATGAATTTGATTTACAAAAGCAATTAATAGAAATGAAAGCTAAACGAAACGTGATTTGAGCTAGCACATGCATGCGCCAATACCTATGTACTTACATACATACATGCACAGTTAGATAATCAGCCGATAGTGGTGTTCGTGCTGCTTCGATGCTTGCACCTATGTACATGTATACATGATAGATAAGATTGTAGATATATTTATGCTTATAAGTATGCCGCAAATTTGTCAATGTGATGTAACAGTTCAGCAAAAACTTAGATAAGTTAACTCGAACACACCATAGTATATGTGTATGTATTTAAATATAGCCGATGACTGAACATTTGTTTTAAGTAAACAAATTTTGGATATTATTAATTAAATATTAAAAACTGCCGAGTAATTATGTAGGTAGTTCGTTTAAAAATGAATTATGCTTTATTTAATTTTAAAGAAATATTTATAGTTGTACAATTTAAAGGAAATAGTTTATGAAAAAACGCTTATTAAATACATAAATCATAGAAAATCTCAAAATCAGTACATGAAGTTTACTTTATTATTTCTCTCAAAAGTAAGATTTCGCATATTTAATGAGGGGAAAAGGAATTCATATCAAGTTTTTAAATTTAAAATTTTTTAAATCATACGATTTTGTGGAAATATACATATTCATTATATTAAGTTAGTACAATCGAGTACTAAATAAACTTAGTAGAACCAAAAGAGTTTCAAATTTTGTTCGAGCACAGATTCAATAATATGGTTTTCACAAAGATCCGCTGTAACTCTAGTCTTATACATACATAACTACCTTCTAAACCAACTGAGTTTACTGAATTATAACAAATTTTTATTATTCCGCGCACAAAAAATTTCTAAAAACCCTTTTGCATGCATTTGGGTGGAATGTATGGTTGTGGTTTTCACAATCAAAATAAAGTTCTAGCTGTATATTAGACTTGCAATGCTAATTGGAATGTATTCAATTATGAGCTATCATAAACAATCCTCAAAATCTTAAGCGGAATCATGCTGCAGTAATATTCTTAGCTTCGGCGGTGCGCTTCGGATGCGTGGAGCTTAACTCTGTTTACTCTGAATCGCTATACGTTTTATATTTACTAGATTATTGCTAATTTTATTGCTGCAAGCAATATTGTTACATGCCGGCGAATGTTGATGTTGGTATGTAAGTATTTGTTCGACACCTGGGATGGCTGATGATGAGTTAGTTGGTGTTAGTTTATTTAAAGTTCGATGTGTTCACCCGTTTTGGTGATCACTTTAAGTTTGTCGAATTTAGGTGGTTTGGTATCATTTGGTATTTCTTCCTTAATCGGTGCGGGTTGCTTGGGTGGCACACGCTTCGGCGCTGTGGTGGTTGTGGTAGGTCGAGCTGTCGTAGATGTAGACTTCGCTTTTGCTGTACCGGGCGCAGTTTTAGGTGCTGCACTAGACGGTTTTTTTGTCGTAGTCGTTGTAGTTGTTGGCGGTGTACGTGTCGTGGTTGTTGTAGGTTTACTAGTAGTTTTAGTCGGTTTCGAAGTAGTTGTAGTAGGTCGAGGCGTCGTTGTTGTGGGTCTTGGCGTAGTAGTAGTTGTAGTAGTCGATTGCGACGTCGTAGTTAGTGGTTTAGTAGTAGCAGCGGGCTTAGGCTTACTAGTTGTAGTTTGTGGCTTAACAGAAGCTTCCATTCCAACTCCTTCATACCTCACATTTCTGATTATGACGTCCGGCTGTTTGCTGGCTCTCGGAGATTTTACACGTGCCAAAAATCGATTGAAGGGTGAACCAAGATAGAGATGATCGTTGAATTCCAAGACATGCGACACTGCGCCCACGGACCTATCGGAGCCGTGCAATGAACCAACGATATTACCATTCCAATCCACTCTCACGATGGTGGCACGTTTGTGTGCCAAAATGAGTACACTCTCACAATGTCCAATAAAATGAATAAACTTNCCCCACGGACCTATCGGAGCCGTGCAATGAACCAACGATATTACCATTCCAATCCACTCTCACGATGGTGGCACGTTTATGTGCCAAAATGAGTACACTCTCACAATGTCCAATAAAATGAATAAACTTTTGTGTCAACTTATTTGGATATGCGTTGTTAATTAAACGGAATGGTAGTTCGAAGAGATTAAGCAAACGTGCTAAGAAAAGTCGAATGTTAGGAAAGTTGGAGAACAAATTAAAGGCGCTTGGATGTTCACTATCAACAGCCATTATCAGTGGAACCCAAATGCCTTCTGCATCCGGAGTCAAATTATCGGGTAGACCAGGTAGACCTTCTACAAACACCTCGCTTTGTCCTGCCTTGGGACCTTTCAAGTAGTACTTAATCAAACGCATGGCTCCAGTTTCGGAAACAATGATGAAATCCTCATCGGGGCTCAGTGCCAAACCGTTAGCAAAGAACAATTCGTCTAGTAGTACGGTACTAACGTTGGCAGCGCGATTGTATTTAAAAAGGCTGAGAATTAAAAAAATTTATATATTTTAAGATTTAAAAAAGCAATAAAATCAAAACTATAAGTACATAATTATTATTATTTTTTTCTTAGATTCAAATGTTATTCAGATGACCTTCATATGAACCAATTTATGTAGAAATGTTAGTTTGTCAAGTTTTACAACCTGATCCCTGCCAAACATCACATTCTCACATACACACATAAAAACATATATACATACATATGTATTAAGAACTGAAAGCAATTTTAGGCGATAGGTAAAATTCAATATGAGCAACCCCATGGTCAAGAACGCGACATTCGTACGCCTTGCGATGCAAAAAAAATAAAGCAACCGCCAATTATATGTTGTTTTTTTATGTTTCGATAGCATTTTAGAGGCAATATGTTTTGTACCAGGGACCATAAATAATAGTTACTTTTTTCAATAGTTAAACTTGGCCAGATATTTTTAAGGGAAAAATATAAGTATTTTCCTAATAATAAACAAACAGCTTATCCAAATTAAATAAGCTTGGTATCAACTGAAAGAGGACTAAAGTAGCTTTAAAACTGAAATGTTTAAACATGCAAAGCCAGCGGAAAGCCAGCTATTCAATAATATTTCAATAAAAAATGTTTTAATTTCTGTTTAAAAGCTATTTAAGTTCTCTTTCATTTGGCACCAAATTTTTTTTAATTTGGATAAGCGATTTGTTTACTACCCGGAAAGACTTTTATTTCGGACATAAAAAATATCTGGCCAAATTTAACTGTTGAACAAGTAATTTTTAGCAAAAACAAACCAACTTCAACTCTCATATAAAAAAAAAAAATATATATATATATATCTCATGATCAACTGATCGGATCTTAACCTGATTAGTATGGGACCACCTCTGAGACACTACCTTTCCGATGCAAAAATAATTATCGAATCGGTTGACGTGGTCCAAAGTTATGCGGTAACATACATAAAAAAAAAAAAAAAAAAAAAAAATATTCCAACGAACTGATAACCTCCTCCTTTTTTGGAAGTCGGTTAAAAAAACAACTGCTATTTACGGTCCCTGTTTTGTTCAAAAGGTAGGTTCTGTCGATCTTCTGTTTCCAATATATTGGCAAACAACGTGGGATCAAGAACGCGACAAAAAATGGAAGTTGTTCTCGACTGCTTCTAGAAATATGCAAAAATCCTCGAAACGCACCATACAAATTTAAAGTGGTTTATTTAAAACTAAAATAGATTAATTTCCCTTTCTTATGGTAGTTGTCATATTAGAAAATTTGCATTCAATTATTTTTTTAGCTTAAGGGCGAATTTAGGCGGCATCTACCACGCGACATTTTTTACGTGACGTTTGTAAAAACAATTAGTATATATACTTTATACTTTGACTTCAGCGCCAATTCAAGGTAAATTTTTTGAAAATCTATGCCTTATTACGTTTCAACTAGATACGCCAAATTCGAACCAAATCGGACCATAAATACGGGGTTTCAAAATATCTCGCCACTGGTGCCACCTAGCAACACTATTTTTCGCAAAAATGTCTTCTTTCTGTTCGTCAGGAAAAGCCAGCAACAAAATTCAGGGAATAAGGTATCTTACTCTCGTAGAGAGAAACTTACAAAGTTCAGCGCTAACAGGACTTTGCAGAAATTTGCAAGCTTCGCTGCCAGCTGGCGTCCACGGTTGCATTTCGAACATAATAATTTTCTTAATTACTTAAAGTGGAAAAAGACAAGACATATATATACAAATACATATTTCTTGTCATTCTAACTTTATTCAACATACGCTTCAATTTCTTTGTGTCGGATTTCCTATATCCGACTCCGATTACGAGTGAGTACAACTCTTTCAGCCCAGTACCTTACAAAATATTGGAACTAATTAAATTAATTAAGTAAACAAATATTTCCATACTTCTTTCATTAGTAAATCGCAACAAGATTGTACATTTTTAAATTTTACAAACTTGTTTATTCAAATTGTTGTTGACCAAAAATACAATCGTGTGCCACGATCCTGCTTACAAATTCTTGCTGGCAAAAATTTTCCAAGCACGAATTTGTAATGTCCCTCTAAAGAAAATGTCAAAATTTTGCTCTCCCTGGCAAGTATTTCAAGTTGTTTGTCCAAACGAACGCGATTTGTTAATATTTGGTACAAGCTTGCACAAGTTTTTTGCATAGAGAACAGAACTATAACCAGTATATATTTTAAAAAGCAGACAAATTGGCCCATGAATACATTAGATACATATATTTCTTTTATTTTTTTTTTGCGGTAGACCTTCCGATGTAAACACCCATGTCGGTTCAATATTGCAAAATATCCACTAATTCGATGCGACCACTTTGAGGGACACCAGATAATTATTATTATCATTTAGGTGTCTCTCACATTTTTTTTTTACTATTACTACTATTTAGTATGTTTTTTTTAATATCCGGTCTGTTTATCAGTTTATCTGGCTATGTTTATATTTTTACTGAGTACTGTCCCTTTGGACAGACTCAGTTGAAGTTACCCACTTCCTGGGCATGAGCAAACTCGAGCCGGGTTTAGAAGTCACTGCAACAACAACAACTAGAGGATAATAATTTTTAACCAGACAACCAGGCAGGTGTGAATATATTAATTGTAAATGATCCGCATGATTTTGAGATTGTTTGTATGTTATTAATATAAAATCATATAAGTATATACATATTTATATTAACGTTAACCAGTCGGCAAAATCAGAAAAGGAGAGGCCTTCTACATATGTGCACATTTGTGTCCAAAAGACTAATTTTTTGGAGACCTTCAAAAAATCAACAATTTCGGCGTCAATATGACGTCATCTAATACCTTGAGGAAATTATTATTTACGGAATCAATAGAACATGCTTACTTGTTGGCATTAGTCCAAAATAAAAAAATGCGCACTATTACATGCTAATAAAAAACCGGTTTTGCCTATTATCTATACTTAAATCTTTCATTTGCATTATTAGTTCATATAAAGTTAAAAATCCACTTACCGACCAGAGGGATTCACAAAAGAGGTGTATACCAAATCAAGAAGCAAGAAATCGGAACTTGAATCAGTCCAATAGATGTCACCTTTCTGATCCACAGCAACTGTGTTGAAAATTTTAGGTTTGCGATTTATACCTTTGCCTGGTTGTTCTTGTTGTGGAGATACCAGCAATTTCTTTTCATTGGTGTTAAGATTTACCTCCCATATTCCATAATATGCGTCGGATACAATCAAATTATTACCTTTCGTATCAAAGGCAAGTCCTAAAGGTCGACCGCAACGTGCTTCTTCAAATATGTCTTCTAAATATTGAGTAAAAAAACACATAATCACTTAGCAACCAACACGATTTCTTACTTGGAAAATAACTTACCACAGGGCTGTCCAATTTTCGCAACATGAGTTACATGGTCGGCAGTCAATTTAATAACCTCACCGCCATGAATGCCGGTATAAATCTCATTTTTACGAGCAATAAGACACTCTGGTCCATAGACACGCCCTTCCAAGAGGCGTTCACCACCATCTAGGTGCTGATTAGGCTCCAAGGCGCCTTTTAACTCTTTAGCAGGTGTTACACTGCAATGATTTCAAAAGTTTTTATTTGAATAAGTAATTGAATAGTAGAGCTAAAACTTTGGAGTCCAAAGTTTGGACTTACTGAAATTCTTTATAAGGGAAAGTGGTACGCGGTGGCAGACCCGGCAGCAAGATTACGATCAGAAAAAATATCATAAAATTCATAAGTCTAACACGAATAGCATGTAGCAGACCCATGTTGCTGGTTAATGTTAAACGATGCCAATACTAAAGTTTTATTAAAATCTTATTAAATTGTACAATTAATTGTATAAAAACCAGCGACTTTATTAAAAACCACTCAATCACTTTGAAATAACCTACTCTGCAAAATTATTCGGCCAGCGACACGAAGGCAATTTCACTACCAATGTTACCTTATCGGTCGAACCTTGAAAAACTCTTTACCTTTGTTTACAGCATGTAACACATGAATATAATTATAGTTTTAGGAAGTTCTCAAATAATTTGAGGGATTCCCAACGATATTGTTGTATGCCGTAAACTTTAAACACCTTAAAAAATATAAAAACGGGGTTCGCAAAGTACCATCAAAGTCATATTATGAATTTTTGCAGTGTTGAAAAATAGTTGGTTGTCATATCATGCTCTCTAAACATTTATTTAAGCTTTTAAAGCTTACGACATACAACAATAAGACACTTTGGACACCGTTGCGAAGCCCTGAATTGTAAAGAGGCGTTTTAATTATTATTTTTTTTTACAAACAAACTTAGAAAGTTTAAGGTTTAAGATTTAAGGTTTAAAAGATATATAAATTTAAGCATAATTTTAGCCCTCGATCGTTTTCGTCAATCTAAATACGCTTAATCCTTAGGGACAGAGGCTTTAGCTGAGTGAGTTTAGGGGGCATGTGAAGAAATGTTTCGAGTCGTGGAGTGTCTCTTCCCATGCTAGGCACTCGGTGGACCCATCTGCATCTAATCTGCTCAGGTGCGAGTTTTACCTGCTGCAGTGTAATTTAACTATTGTGGTTATCGTCCTGTTTAACTATGCCAATACAACGTACGAGAAAGCTAACTGTAGAGTTAAGTTTAATGTGAAAAGGAATTAGTAAATAACTATTAGAGTTTTCATCACCAACAGTTAAAATAAAATGACAAACAGAAAACTTTTTGAGCCATTAAAAAAACTTTGTATCAAATTCTTTTAATTAAAGTTAAATCTGTTAACGCAGAAACGGTATAATACATTTCGGTACATTTAATAAAAATAAACGCATTGGCAACGTCATTCATAAGTCAGCTGTTTGTTATCGAAAAAAACAGGTGAATTGCATGGTTGCATAAACAACTTACAAAAAGGCCTGTTTCTTAACTTTTTACAGCTGATGACAGCAGATTGGCGAAGAATAGTTTTCCTCGCAGAGATCGAAAGAAAAAGGAAAGAAACGAAAATTAGCAAATTTGCAATCACTGTATACACACACACACACTTCTTCAAATGCATGTACAAATACTTACATTCTGCAATATTTCAATGTGTTTTTTTTAACGATGCACTTATTTTGTTTTACTAAAACGAATTAAAACAAACTTGTCAACTTTTTCCTTGCGCGTTTTGAACAGCTCCTTTTTAAACATATGACAGAAAATTTCTGTTGGCAGAAATTAATTTTTTATTAATTTTTTTGGAACTTATTTCATTTTGTGAGTGATTTAAGTTAAGTGCCAACAGAAATTTTGCCAGCAGAAATTTGCTGCTCTCTCGTTTTTTTGTGCTCTCTTTTTGGCTCCCTTCTGCAAATTTTTTGTGTTAAGAGACGCTTTCCAGCAGAATGCAGTCAAAAATAATTTTTAAATAAAATAGATACTTCATATTGGTAAAAGTCCTTTAAAAACTGTTTTACGCGTACAAAATTGCATATAGTTTTAACATTACAAATAAAAAAATATACCCCTTTGCTGGTAATTTTTAATAAATAATAAGGTAGAGGAAAAAGTATTTTGTTTGTACCCAGCAAGATCGACCTAACGCATTTTTCAATACACTTACAAAATTGTCAATAAAACCCAAAACATTTGAATATTAACAACAAACATCGTATGCCATTCTTTTTTATAAAACGTTATTAATCGCAAAATAATATTTGATTGAAAAGAGACAACTACATATGGGATAATATAATAGTGAATTCCATGTAAAAGAAAGAGGAAACGACCCACACGTGAAATGATTATGCGTTTGGCATTACTGTCGTACCTAAATTGGAGAGCTAAGCGTTGCATTTTCCATTGTTAACGATTGTGGGCGCGCGCCATCCCCAATTCAACGCGGCGCAAATTTCAACGTTTTTTCATTTCCTCTCGTTTTTATTCTCGTTTCCTCCTTCACTTTTTTGTCCTTTCTCTTTCTTTGCGTCTTCTGCATCCAACTTTAACACGTAACGCTGTCAAAAATGAAAATGCCATTTACTCGGCGCTAGCGCCGCGTTATTGTGGGATGCTCCATACAAATTGTACGGGCATGAGGCTTTTTGACAGTTGTTTGCCGCTTGACGCGCCAATTTAGGGACGGCAGTTAGTTAACTTATAGGGTTCTTACTGGGTATGTGCTTCAAAACTGGAGTTGCAAATTTTGGTTAGTAGCATCGATGTTTCGATCCATTAGAGAAAAAACATTGCGGCTAAAGAGCATTGCCAGAGAAACATCGATATATCGACGGATTCCGATGTTATATAATTTGTTAAGTTCTACATAAATTTAAAACAAATTTGAATACGTTAATAATTATGATTAATAACATTTTCTTCAAAAAGGTATAAATAATAATTAGAACGGAGAAAAATCTTCATTCCTTCACCTTAAACTAATGTAAATCTCCCTTAAAGGATTTATATAAAAAAACAAGCCGCGTGTACTCGCGCTAAAAAGAGCGGTGTCAATTTTAATCTCACTATACCAACTTTAGCAGTTGTTCCAAATAACATAAGGTGTATTAAAATATTAAAGATTAATGTAATTTATTTTGTAGTTAGCATCATATCATTTATAAGAAGTGTCTTAACAAAGCTAAAGTAAATTTTCAAAAATCTTACAGCGATTCCAATATGGCGTCCAATAATTAAAAAATCATTGCATTTTCAAAAAATTTGGTATTTAGAGGTTCTTAAGTTTGCTCATTACAAATTTTAAACTGAGAGCCGATTAGCGGTGTTGCAATCGGCGCCACGTTCTGTATTTTCTCCACCATGTTTTTCGCGTATACACATGAACGAAAGACACAAGATCACGTAAGAACAAGAGAGTGAAAAAAGCCGATTTTTTTAGCGGGTTCTACGCCATCTTGTTTCACTGGAAAACGAGGGAAAAGTAAACAAAGCAAAGAAAACAACGAAAACCAAAATTAGCCAAAATTGTTGTCAGCCACTTTAAACGCACAATTTAGGTAAAATGATGCAACAAAATGCTTTAAAATGTGTTGTCATGTTGAATTAACTCTTCTTTACTTGAATAAAAGTGTAAAATGGTGGTGCTTGTGATGTAAACAAACGCTCAGCTGACGAACCCGCTTTCGCAAACTTTTTTCTCAAAACCAGTTACAAATACAACATCGCGTTCTTACGTGATCTTGTATCTTTGGTTCATGGCGTATACAGTTGTTAGCTGCATTTCAGTGATCGCCGATCGAGATGTCATTTATTATTTTACATTATTTGGAAAAGAAATATTGTTGTTGTTTTTTTTCCTGTTTAATTGAGGAAATTCAATTGACAGCACTGACAAATGAATACATACACAAATAAATTTTCGATTATGTTTAAAACAATTCAAGTTTTTGTATTGAATTTTTTGTTTACAATTTCTCTTTATCTTTTCAGTAGGGTTTGTTTGCACATTATCTTCTCTGTGCGAATTGATCGTGATAGATACGGATCTGAATAAGCGACTGGAACACGTCTGTTTGTAAAAAGCATACGACTTCAAACTCGCGTAAATGTACATATGCTGAACGCGATAGCGTGAAAGATCTGCGAAAAAATACGTCCGAGAGTGCTAAATATTGAATTTTAAATGCAACAAAAACGCTGTATAAGGGAGGCGATTTGGTAAAGAGAGAGCGAGAAAACTCTTTTCTAAGCAATCTTTTTATTATTGAATCATGAATATAAACTCATTTTCCAACAAAAAACTTTATTCGATAGTAAATTCCAAATATTTAAAAAGTATTTCGAATAGGAACTTATAACTTTTTTAGGGTACTGTTTAGTAAGTGGCCCACCTATTTCGGGGTATTGCGTCCAAAGGGGTGACCCGATCCAAAAAAAAAAATTCACACACTTGTAGCCAAGGGTCTACCCATTATTTTAACATCCACTATTCTAATTTTTGGCCACTAATTTATTTACAAATTGGGTTTGAAATATGCCCCATTTTGTAAAATTTGGAAATTAGCGTACATTTATCACTCCTATTCTCCTTAAAGCAGCCACTTCACCAATTCATTTTTGTATTCCCCTTCACTTTACACTTTACTCGATTAGTTATAACTTGATTTACGACTTTAATATTAACCAATTAATCACAATTCATTAAATAAAAACACCTTCAAAATCATGCGTCTGACTTTGGTTGCACATGCAAATTAAATGGCGGAGTTCAGCTGTCAAACTCCGAAATATGCAAAAGAATGAGAGACAAAAGAAGATAGGATATAACCCAGTAAGCATTAAAAATATACAAAGGTGTTCTCTGCAAAAGGTGTTTAGCTCCTTTTCTTCGCAAAACAGAAAGGAGAATTCTACTGCCTGAGGGTTATAATCCCTAAGTGCGGCCGAAGGCCGCCTACGCAGAAAGGTGTTCTCTGCAAAAGGTGTTCAGCCCCCTTTCTTTGGCAACACAGAAGAGAATTCTACGTAGTGAGGGTTATAATCCCTAAGTGCGGCCGAAGGCCGCCTACGCAGAAAGGTGTTCTCTGAAAAGGTGTTCAGCCCCTTTCTTTGGCAACACAGAAGAGAATTCTACGTAGTGAGGGTTATAATCCCTAAGTGCGGCCGAAGGCCGCCTACGCAAAAAGAAGTTCTGCGCTAAAATACTATCATATTACTATTACTACAACATTTCTATCTGTCGCTTTTTTCTTAATTTCACAATATTTTTAGTTTATTTTTTTTTAGTTTATTTTTTTTTCAAATCGCCTGATAACCAACTTGGGATAATTTCTTTTATTTAAAAATCCCACGGTTTTCGTTAGTTGGGTTATATTCCACTTCAAACTGCCAGTTTGTCTCGGAAAATGCCGTTTTTACCCCATTTTCAAACGGTTCCCTAGGGGTCTGTGGGAGGTCCCCAAGTGGGGTGGGGCTTTTCGCAAAGTGGCGACTGCCCCTTTCGGATGAGGGGGGTTTGGGGGGGGCCACGCCCCTCCCCCTCCGCCCCCCACCCGAAAAACGATGGGCCAATAACTAAACATTTCCCCTGTTTTACCATCTGCAACACTGACGAAGTGGCAACCATCTATAGAAGGAAGCAATAAGCTGACACGGAAAAGTCTAAATTCCGCAGATTTCTGCGCCACGGGCTACAACTACAGAAAAATTCTGCGGTGTTGACTTGTCATTTACATAGCGCTCCGGTAAGACAGATCGTGTCAGCTGACTCGGGTTTACGTACCGGTAGGTTTACGTTCTGGACTAATTCCACCTTTAGGTTTTAGTACACTAGATTTTCTTATAGCTCAGTTACAGGGAATTTACATGAGGCGATTTTTCAGGCGGTTTTTCTGTTGAAAGCAACAATCGCCTNTAGATTTTCTTATAACTCAGTTACAGGGAATTTACATGAGGCGATTTTTCAGGCGGTTTTTCTGTTGAAAGCAACAATCGCCTGGCGTAAACGGCATTTAAAGTAATCGCTTTCAATGAAGTTGGTCGGCTGCCTACTTTTGTTCAACTAATCGCCTGTGAAAGTTTAATCATGTAAAATCCCTATTATGCATACTTGCGCTGCACTGCAAAACAAAATTTTGGTAGGTTTTGGTTGATTTTGGTAGGAAAAAATATTTGGCCACGGCAACACTGTTTGGTGTCGTGTTTTCGTTGCGTTTTTCGCTTACGTGAATTATATGCTGATTATTTNTAATCATGTAAATTCCCTATTATGCATACTTGCGCTGCACTGCAAAACAAATTTTTGGTAGGTTTTGGTTGATTTTGGTAGGAAAAAATATTTGGCCACGGCAACACTGTTTGGTGTCGTGTTTTCGTTGCGTTTTTCGCTTACGTGAATTATATGCTGATTATTTGATGTGTAAAGTGTTAAAATNACGGCATTTAAAGTAATCGCTTTCAATGAAGTTGGTCGGCTGCCTACTTTTGTTCAACTAATCGCCTGTGAAAGTTTAATCATGTAAAATCCCTATTATGCATACTTGCGCTGCACTGCAAAACAAAATTTTGGTAGGTTTTGGTTGATTTTGGTAGGAAAAAATATTTGGCCACGGCAACACTGTTTGGTGTCGTGTTTTCGTTGCGTTTTTCGCTTACGTGAATTATATGCTGATTATTTGATGTGTAAAGTGTTAAAATCAAAGTGTTTTATTAATAAAAATGGCGGAAAATCTTAGCTCCGCACAAAGCGAGTTTGGTAAATTTATATGACTTGTAAATATTTAGGTTTATACAAGTAATACTAACAGGTAATAATACGCGCCAGAAAGACGACGACTCCATGGCAATGGACCACGATGCAGACCCAAATACGCAAGAGAGTCGAGATGATAGCACACACACGCCAAATTCATCAGCTCATAACACAGGTGGGTTTAAAAATTTTCCACTAATAAAATTCATTGTGTATTTTTGTTAATTGTGTGTGTATTTTTTGTTAATTTCCCCAGATGAGGACGATGACAGTGGTGATGGACGTAATAGCTCAGCACATGCTTCATCGTCGACTCTAAGCTATAAAGAAAGACGTCGCGAAGCTCATACTCAAGCTGAGCAAAAACGTCGGGATGCCATTAAGAAAGGCTACGATAGCCTTCAAGAGTTAGTGCCGACATGCCAACAAAATGATTCAGCATCGGGTTATAAGTTGAGTAAAGCGCTTATTTTGCAAAAATCAATCGACTATATTGGCTATCTAAACTTACAAAAAAAGAAGCAAGAAGAAGAAGGTGCTGCCTTGCAGAAAGAAGTCGCTGCACTGCGCATAATACAACATAGTTATGAGCATATGTTGCAACATCAGCAAGCTAATCCTGGTCCCGAAGAAGCACGTCTGACCGACGAAGCAAAATTTCAAGTGGTAAATATTTAAGAACTTTGAATATTCTAAAGTATATAAAAAAATTTTCCATAAGTACGTGTACTCAGGTATTTCTTATAATTATGTTGTAATGAATATAGAAGAGCAAAAATAGATTATATCACTTAACAGATAGTGAGTGCTCGGGTTGAAGCATAAACAGACGCAGCGCTGATCCGGATCAACTCGGGAATTAACTGCAGTTGATCCGGATTAAGTCCAAGTTAATCCAGATCAACGCTGCCCTCTGTTTAAGCTTTTAGGTATTGGTTCTGCGGTTCAAGTGAAGGTGCTTCCAATAATTCCATGCATAATAATGACGCGTCTCATTCTTATTCCTTCATGTTAACAAATTTTCGTTTATCTTACACATACTGTTTATAGTTCCAGGCAATTATGGATGAAATGTTCAATACATTCCAGCATATACCAATGGATAATTTCAAGCAGCTCACAACAGGGGTCATACCGTGGTTAGAGGAGTACTGCAAGCCACATATTTTGCGCAGCATACTAAGTCGCACATTGCAACAAATGTCTCAATCACAAGCGCAAGAAAAGCAAAAGCAGCAGCAAGACAACGAAGGATTTAGTTGATTTACTAGCAGGTGTCGGAGGCGCTATGAGCCTCATGAATAACTAGATTTGACGCGGCTAATAATTATCTAGACTTAACTTGTTTAAATTAGTGATATTTTACTCCGGGATTCATGTTAATAACTTTTATTTGGTTACAAGCATTTGTCAATTTTTAAGCCAAATAGTAAAACTCCTTTTTTATAGTTTAGTTAAATTGTATGTCATAAGTTCTCGGTCTTTCCCCAAACACACTGTGTAATAATGTTTGGATATCATTAGTATCGTTTTAAATGTTATATGTATACTTGCTGGTAAATCGTTTAGTTATCATTACAATTGTGCTAGTTGAACACTGGCGGCAGAAATTATAGAAACGTCTTATTTAGATCAGTTGTGGCTACATATATATATATATTTTTTAATGTTTAATGTTTTTTATAAAAGTGTTCCTCATGATATAACAAAACTGCATATAAATGCGCATTTCGAAAATTTTAAAGTTCAACAAACTTTCATCTAAATTTTAAACTTTTTATGCTGAATTTCTAGAACAATTTTAGGTATGCAGTTTTATAGTCCATACAATTTTAGTATGATGAAGTGCAAGTCTCATGTGGCTAAAAATTACTTTTTTTAGCTGACGGTGTTGTGATTTTTCATTTTCCTCAACGCCAGTTTTCATAAATTGCACTTGTAAAAAAAAATTCGAAAAAATGCGGCGGCAAAAAAAAATTTTGTAGCCACTTGAAACTTCCACTAAAATTTAATGAGTTATAAAACTGCTTACATAAAAATTCTGAACAAAAATTTTAAAATTTGGGTGAATTTTTCTAATTTTTTCAAAGTTTGAAATTCGCATTTATGTACGTACATATATGCAGTTTAATAGACTTGTAAAAAATATTCAATAAACAAAAACAAGTCAGTTAAAATAAAGCGTTTATATTATTTCTGCCTCCAGTGTATGTGTGTAAACATTAAAGTTAATTTGGTAAGGGGTAAAAACCAATAGAAAATGCATTCGAATTTCGTTTTTTTTTTAGTTTTATCTCTAACAGCTTCAGAAATAAAATCGATGCCTTATTGCGACATTTTATCTTACCTATTGATTTTCAACTTAGTCTTAATTACATTCGAATTTGTATAGTAAATAATAAAATTTAAAACTAAAGCCTCTAACTAATCATTAAGTTCATAATTATTAGTATTTTATTTTTCTAATTATACTTAGCGCTAAATTTGGATGCACTGACTTGGAATTCATCATAGCCAATTGAGTCTTCCTCCACAGTTGTTTGCAATAATTGTTGCGCAATCTTTGAGTGACAGTCAGTACCTACCAATAACAACAAATCCATTAGCTTGCTTAATGTGTATGGTTTGTATTGTGGTATTAATTCCAAACTGGCCAAATATGACTGTAATTTCTGTATGAAATTCTTTGTTTCCGCGTCGTTAATATGCATACTTTCATGTCGAATACGTAATACGCCTTCGACTAGCGTAAAAATTAAGCCTAAGAATAAATTTTCATCCGATATGAGATGAAGTATGCTAGAAATACTCAAAAGCGCATTAGGCAATTCGTGGCTAAAGTCGTGAGCACGTACAAAACACAATGCAGCTAATTTCCTTACACTTTCACAGCGATGTGCCAATAAACGCCACATTTGTTGGCGAATACGTTGTAAGAACGAACATTCATAAGGTTCAGTTTGTTTTGGTAGGTGTTTTACTTTAGATAGGAACCCCAATAATAGCACTGTGGTACGTGTACTTTGGTTGCATTTGGCTTCAAAATAATTTAGTAAACAGTCGCAAGCTGTTGGCAGTTTCCGTATGATTTCATCATATGTAATATCATTGTTTCCATTTCCAACTGCATCGTCAAGGTCTTTTGCTGGTGTTTGCCCAACAATTTTCGGTATAAGTGCGCCAAATAACTGAAGTGCAGCATTGAATTCTGTCCACTCTGGATGTTCAATATGTTTTAAAGCAACCAATAGCATTTCATTGTAATAATGTGAGGTGGCATCACGCAATTCCGTATCTCGTACCAATACACCAAGGTAGTGTAGTAATAGGGTTTCAAAACGATCATAATTATCTGCATCAGAAGCGTTATTTAAACGTTTTTCATTAATTAGACACATACATTTTTCCATTACACGCTTTAGGAGAGGCCTGGAACGCTGTTGTTCATTTTTAACAATGTGCAACATCATAAGGGAGTACCCTGCACCACGGCGTGTAACGCTCACCTGTTTGGTATTATCGAACAACAGATCCAAACACTTGTAAAGCAAAAGATAACCTTCTGAAGTCGGCAGGCAGTTCGCCGTAATACATCTGGTAAGCTTACCTAGAGAAAGAACACTGTTATAGAATTTAAAGTGCTTAATTGTCAGCGCAAGCAGGAACTCACCTATGCTCACACCTGCCGCTTCAATGGCGCCTTTGTGTCTACAGCGCGTAAGTACCGTTACATGTATCTCCAAGCAGCGTCCGAGTATGTTCAAGTCGCTTTTGTTATACCTGTTAGTTTCTACATAGCTGATGCCGATTCCCGTCGCCAAATCACAAGCGGCCTACATATTACAAATTGTTAAAATTAACGGATTCTTTGTATGAACATATGCGTCAAAGCTTGATTGATCAAAGAGGAAGAATGATGCATGGAACTAAAACTTGAGCATTAATAGCGCCTTCCTAGTCTACACCCTGACTCGCACTGAAAGCACACAATGTCACCTCAAAGCTGATATGGGACCGTTCTCAACTTGTAATAATCTTCGGATACAGGAGCTTGGTTTGCTTTATTTGGTTGTCGGGAAACGAAACTAACTAACTAAGAAAACTGGCTACACTGAGATTCATAGGCCAAGAAGCCATTATCGGTCTGTGAGGCGAGATTATTATATCCGAACGAGAAAGGAAGTGGTTTACTTTGACCGGTGAATCCTTAGGCCAGGACTACGTTTGGTGTACTTAACTAAAGCAAATAACCTAAATAGAACTCAGAAAACGGACGTCGCGAAGTCTCTTAGAAGTCTGATAAATTACATAAGCCTTATTAGCGATACCTACTTGATCTGCTCCCTCCTCTTAATATTAAACAAATCAAATTTAAATAATAGTTACCTTAAGCGTTAGCCAGAATGACATAAGCAAAAATTTTCGAAGTTCTCGGCTATTAGTTATTTGGTATGCACTTTTTTGCACCAGTATTTCCAGACTTTCGTCCATGTCTTGAAAGCTTGCTGCGTTAATACCAGCTTGCATGGGATTAGCTTTGCACACGTTCAAAAAGTCCAAAACTGAATTCACTACTTTTTCCAAAAGATCAAGTAATTTATCTTGCTGCTCCGCGGTTAAAAATGCATTGTCTTGTACAATCTCATCTACGATATTGATGTATCCTAACAAATGATTGCGTGTCTTACATACGAGCAGTGGATCTACTTGAAATCCTACGAGTTCTTTGTCCAAATTTTCTGTGGCGAAATCTAACAATTCAAAAAGCGATTCGTTATTACCCGTAGACTTGCAACAGTTGACCGTCACTCGCGCGTAGAGTGTACTTAGCACACATTCATCTACATCAGAACGTCGACTGAATTCCTTACATAGGCGAACACTCTGTGCTGCATTTGTGAAATCGATTTGCTGCAAGAGTAACAAAATCAAATCTAATGCGTCGTCGAAGCCCAGAGGATCATCAATTAGTTTGAAAAGTGCTTCTGTTAATTTGGCAGGCTCAAATACTTGTTTTTCAATCAAAAATTGGCCCAGTTTTTTGTTCTGTGCTATGCAGCAATTTTTCGCATTCTTTTCCAAGTGGGTTGCGTACAATGACTTGAGTAATATTTCCAGCAAGCGCAAGGAAAATATTTTAGACTGATACAACGCACTTCCAATGTCCGTTTCAATTAACAGGTGAATTTGTTTGAAAAATGCTTGAATACTGGTCTCAAGTGTGGTTGTGCCCTCTGCATCATGCAATTTGCTAAAAGCTTTGGCCACATAGTTAATCATAGCAGGCATTTTTCCTAAAATCTCATTTCGAAACGGTGCATTATCAATGCATTTGTGCTTCTTTACAAATGCGGCCGTGAATTCCAGGCAATCTTCAATGGCAAAATTAGCCACATTGTCCACAATAAATTTGAAAACCAACATCTTTGTTTCTATTTCAAATTGGAAACAGTTTGTTATCAGTTCAGTGCTGATTTTAAAAAAGTGTAGCTTAGATGCTTGGAATATTTGCCGTGAAAACATACTAAAAATTAATGTTGATCGAAAGTAGTCCTGATCAACAGCGCCATCGATTGTGTTTTCCAGAAAATTCGCTATCTCAGGCCGTGTCTGCAGATATTCAAATAATCGATCCTTTTGCTCTATTCGACCAAACCAGTGAGCATTGAAATTCTTGATTTCTTTTGATGTGCCGCGAGTTAATATATCTGCCGACATATCCAGCAGTTCTTGAGAGTTTTGTGAACTTAGCGCCTTTACTAAATGTTGACTAGCAGGTAAGAGGCTTTTATGACTCAAACTTAGACGTACACCTGCATAGAATTCTTGGATAGATCGCTGTGCGCTATTAAGGAACTCATTTATATTATACGTTTTCAATATACAGCTAATTAAATAAAACTTATAACGATTTGTCCACGGCCAGAACTCTAAAATAATTTGAAAATTTTCAAATCCAACAGTTGCTTGCCGACAGCATTTGGTAAAAAGATTCATCGACTCCTCACGCATACCGAATTGATTAGTTTGCAGGCAATGATAGATTTGTTGCAGTGGAATGTTTGCTTCCAGCGTGGGAAATTTCGCCAACAATAAATTAAGTACTTTCAGTATGTATAGAAGACTACTGCAATCTGAGTCAACTGCGTCAGCTAATGCCTTGGTGCATTCATCTAATAACTTTGCTGGCTCTTTTGTTTGAGCTTTCAAATCTGTCAGTAACGACGCGTACAGTAACTGAAACCCCCATTCTTCGGAATACACCAACTTCGGTTTCGGCAAAGAGTTTAAGTATGTGTCAGGAAGTTTGTGCTGCTGCATTATTTGGAAATATGCCCGATAAGCCGTATTTAACACAACCTGATTGGCCATAGCTTGTCCGCCAGTCCTTGTTTTTGTGGAACATTCGAACTCGATTACAGCTACAATGTGTTGGATCACATCTTCTAAGTCATCCCTAGTTTTCGCTTTTGTTGCAATTGACTGCAATTGTAAAATATAACAAAAATGTACACTTTTGTTTACATATATACATATGTATAATCGCATGCAACTTACGGGTAAATATTTTATGCACTCCGTGGAGTTGGATATATCTTTTACACATTTCGGCAGCTGTCTAATATCAGGATAATTACTTGCCATATTTTATGGAAGATTTTATCCAGTAAGATCTATTAAATAATTTACCACTAAATGCATATCAAGAGGAAAAATTTTACGAGGAGTTTCCGGCTATCAGCTGATTCTGCAATCCCCAGTACAGTATTCATTCAATAGTTCGACTGATTCCATGAGACTATAAAAGCTCCGATTGTTTACGTACGAGTTTATGGTAGTTCGTAACATATTTTTGCGTAGGGGAAATTATGATAGCGAAAATTGAAAATTTAGGTTTAAGTTGCATGTTTTTACCGGATAAATTTTTGGTCGTCACAATTTTCTGTTAAAATACAGATTCTTGAATTTCACACCCGCAAAGGATTAAATTTTTGGAATTGCAAAATTAAACTGCCAAAATTGAATGATCTAATTACTGCCAAGTAACTGATTATCATAGTATTCTGAATGGTAGACAAATTCAAGGAAATCGTAGTGAAATCTTCATTTTCTTTCTAATTTTTTGCCGAATTTTCTAATGGCTTAGGGCTGTTCAAGATGTTGTGGAAATGGTCTAGGATTTGCAGTTGGAATCGCATTTGCAAATTTTAAGCTTGTTGCCATGGCAACCGTGTGCGTTTTATTGTTGTGTATTTACAAATGCAACGAATATGCTAATGCAGAAGCATATGCATAAAATCCTGAACAGCCCTAATGTATGAAATAATGGGTGCAGATTTGTCTTGAGTAAATCGTACTGAAATTTTTTGCCATAACCGTTTCATATGATTATCTTTAAAGTTTCGCAAAAAACAGCTAGGAGTATGCCTTCTATCGCTATCACACCTGATCAATTACAATTTTATTTTGGGAACAATAAATGGGTTTTGTGCTATTTTCCACAATCTCTAAATGCTAAAGGATAATAAATCCTCAATCCTGCCAGTAGAATTGAAGTTTAAAAACCAAGTAAAAAACACAACCGGCTTCAATGCTCATATAAAAATTTAGAACTAATTTCATGTTATCAAAAAGAAAAAAAAAACAGGTGGAATACGATGCTTTATTTATCAATAATAATTTATAACAATTTCACGCCTTCGTGGTTCAGTCTAATAGTTGTATATAATTGCATGAATACTGGGCTCGAATAGTAATATCCTTTCACTGATTACGTGATACGTCCACCATCTAAGTTGAATGTCATAGAGTACTTTCACGTATGTCATAATCCGGAAAATGTGTTTTTACGTGACGAGTAATACGATTTAGAGTGTGACGATTCGAGCCCAGGTTTCTGGTGGTGAACTACACCTAGCTTTTTCTCAGCTAAATTTGACTGAGTTGCAGAGGGACAAAGCTAAGCAAGAGTGAAGAGAAAGTTATGATTTTGCACGATCGCAACTTCATTTGTCCACCGAACTACGCAATTTATCAATACAAAAGCTGAAGCAAATACAGGTAATATTCTATTGAAACAAAAATATATATGCTATATTCTTAATATTGAAATATATATGCAATATTCTTATATAAAATAAACAAACAATTCTTCATAGTCCAATGATCGGAACATACGTGGTCCAAAGTTATCCGGTAACACACATTCAAAATACTACAATGAATTGATAACCTTCTCCTTTTTTTAAACCGGGAAAAGGAACTAAAACTTTGAGCATTGGGGTCCTTTATGATAATGAAATTCTGAAAATGCACCTAGGATCAGTTCCCGTTCTGCGTATCGTGAAGTGAAAAGTCAAAAATTCACACCGAAATATGTGCGGTGTGAACGTGTTATTTTTACAATTCACAAATGACGCAGAACGAGTATTGACCCTCTGGATCATAATATATTTTGTTTTTGTTTACCATAGCAATTTTCTTATATATTTTTTTTACTACCACTCAATCAGATGTTTACGTTTCTATACGTTACGTTACGTTTTTCAGAAAATTAAAGGATTTGTAGAAGCGCAATTATTCGACGATTATGGCAACACCAATCGAATAGCCGTATTTGTGGCGATTTTTACTCCGCTTCATTTTCATTTTCTACGCTTTGCACATTTTAAAAGTGACAAAATGGCGAATGAAGCAAGCAAATTGCTGCTTTCTACACAACAAGAAAAACCAAATCATTACACGTAAATAAACAAAATACTTAAAAAATTTGTGATTTTTAGTGAAGTGCAATGTAAAGTTTATATTTACTTAATGCTTGGTGCACTGTGGTGTCTTTTAGGTACTTAAAGGAATTTCGCGTCGAGCAGTGTCAGTCTTTTCTACAGCACAAATGCAACCAGCATAGACCGTTCGTGTGTTTCAATTGGCATTTCCAAAATCAACGCCGCCGTCGTCCTGTCCGTAAACGAGATGGCACTTTTAATTATAGTGCAGATAATTATTGTACCAAATATGATGAAACAACAGGGATTTGTCCTGATGGTGATGAGTAAGTATGTTTTCTTGTTGCTATTGTTTTGCAACCAGTGACCTGTGTTTTGTCTGAGACAGCATACGTGATTGTCCTTCTTCCCCACCTCTTTGTGGGCAGTACGAGAAATTGCGTTTCCATTATTTCCAACACCTCTTGGCTAAGTACAGATCCTAACATTTGCTTCTTTTCTTTGATTTCGTCATTATCACCAATTGCTTTCATGTTTGCCTTCTTTGTTTTTGTTTTATTTTTGTTGTGCTTTAGCTCTATTTTGTGTTACCGATGCAAATTCGTTTGTGTTTTTCTCCTATTTCACTTCTGTAACACAACGCGTACAATCTCCTTCGTTTGTCTCACTCATTCGTAATTCTGTTTATTATGGGAATTTCGGTACTTTCCACTTCGGTAGCGGTAGCAGACACCGGAGAAGCGAATTTGATACATTTTTCGAATGTAAATAAATATGAGCATAGGCAGACGCGTGTAGGAGTCGGTTTATTTATAGGGCATTCGCACGAGGCGATTTTACAGGCAACAAAAGTTGAATGCGGAGTTGAATGAGAAGTTGAAAGTGAAAAAGTTGCCATCCCTATTCAGACGAGGCGATTTTCAATTCAACACGAATAGTTATTTACATTATTTAAAATGAATTTAAATCGCAAAATTTTATCAATTGGCGTAAATTTGGTAAGCCAAGCGTTCGTAGAAGTGCTTTTAGCGAAGCTGAAAGATAAAATAAGAGTAAAAAGTAGAAAAGAAGAAAAAGTATGTATACAGAACAGTGTTGACATTTTTGGTACAATTGTACTTGTTTGATACAATTTCATTTACAATATACTTTCCTACTACGCAGTACTTTTTAGTACAATTTTGTAATCAATACTAAATATATATAGCTCTGAAAATTCACAGCAAGAAATTTTTTGTATTCTCTTTTGTTGTTTTGTTTTGAAAAATGGCTTGAACGAACCAGTATAATATAGCCTAGGCAAATTTTTAAAGAAACTTTTCGATACTAAGTTTTATTAAAACAAAATGTCGAAGTCAGCTTCATATAGAAACAAAGNGTCAGCTAATGCCTTGGTGCATTCATCTAATAACTTTGCTGGCTCTTTTGTTTGAGCTTTCAAATCTGTCAGTAACGACGCGTACAGTAACTGAAACCCCCATTCTTCGGAATACACCAACTTCGGTTTCGGCAAAGAGTTTAAGTATGTGTCAGGAAGTTTGTGCTGCTGCATTATTTGGAAATATGCCCGATAAGCCGTATTTAACACAACCTGATTGGCCATAGCTTGTCCGCCAGTCCTTGTTTTTGTGGAACATTCGAACTCGATTACAGCTACAATGTGTTGGATCACATCTTCTAAGTCATCCCTAGTTTTCGCTTTTGTTGCAATTGACTGCAATTGTAAAATATAACAAAAATGTACACTTTTGTTTACATATATACATATGTATAATCGCATGCAACTTACGGGTAAATATTTTATGCACTCCGTGGAGTTGGATATATCTTTTACACATTTCGGCAGCTGTCTAATATCAGGATAATTACTTGCCATATTTTATGGAAGATTTTATCCAGTAAGATCTATTAAATAATTTACCACTAAATGCATATCCAGAGGAAAAATTTTACGAGGAGTTTCCGGCTATCAGCTGATTCTGCAATCCCCAGTACAGTATTCATTCAATAGTTCGACTGATTCCATTAGACTATAAAAGCTCCGATTGTTTACGTACGAGTTTATGGTAGTTCGTAACATATTTTTGCGTAGGGGAAATTATGATAGCGAAAATTGAAAATTTAGGTTTAAGTTGCATGTTTTTACCGGATAAATTTTTGGTCGTCACAATTTTCTGTTAAAATACAGATTCTTGAATTTCACACCCGCAAAGGATTAAATTTTTGGAATTGCAAAATTAAACTGCCAAAATTGAATGATCTAATTACTGCCAAGTAACTGATTATCATAGTATTCTGAATGGTAGACAAATTCAAGGAAATCGTAGTGAAATCTTCATTTTCTTTCTAATTTTTTGCCGAATTTTCTAATGGCTTAGGGCTGTTCAAGATGTTGTGGAAATGGTCTAGGATTTGCAGTTGGAATCGCATTTGCAAATTTTAAGCTTGTTGCCATGGCAACCGTGTGCGTTTTATTGTTGTGTATTTACAAATGCAACGAATATGCTAATGCAGAAGCATATGCATAAAATCCTGAACAGCCCTAATGTATGAAATAATGGGTGCAGATTTGTCTTGAGTAAATCGTACTGAAATTTTTTGCCATAACCGTTTCATATGATTATCTTTAAAGTTTCGCAAAAAACAGCTAGGAGTATGCCTTCTATCGCTATCACACCTGATCAATTACAATTTTATTTTGGGAACAATAAATGGGTTTTGTGCTATTTTCCACAATCTCTAAATGCTAAAGGATAATAAATCCTCAATCCTGCCAGTAGAATTGAAGTTTAAAAACCAAGTAAAAAACACAACCGGCTTCAATGCTCATATAAAAATTTAGAACTAATTTCATGTTATCAAAAAGAAAAAAAAAACAGGTGGAATACGATGCTTTATTTATCAATAATAATTTATAACAATTTCACGCCTTCGTGGTTCAGTCTAATAGTTGTATATAATTGCATGAATACTGGGCTCGAATAGTAATATCCTTTCACTGATTACGTGATACGTCCACCATCTAAGTTGAATGTCATAGAGTACTTTCACGTATGTCATAATCCGGAAAATGTGTTTTTACGTGACGAGTAATACGATTTAGAGTGTGACGATTCGAGCCCAGGTTTCTGGTGGTGAACTACACCTAGCTTTTTCTCAGCTAAATTTGACTGAGTTGCAGAGGGACAAAGCTAAGCAAGAGTGAAGAGAAAGTTATGATTTTGCACGATCGCAACTTCATTTGTCCACCGAACTACGCAATTTATCAATACAAAAGCTGAAGCAAATACAGGTAATATTCTATTGAAACAAAAATATATATGCTATATTCTTAATATTGAAATATATATGCAATATTCTTATATAAAATAAACAAACAATTCTTCATAGTCCAATGATCGGAACATACGTGGTCCAAAGTTATCCGGTAACACACATTCAAAATACTACAATGAATTGATAACCTTCTCCTTTTTTTAAACCGGGAAAAGGAACTAAAACTTTGAGCATTGGGGTCCTTTATGATAATGAAATTCTGAAAATGCACCTAGGATCAGTTCCCGTTCTGCGTATCGTGAAGTGAAAAGTCAAAAATTCACACCGAAATATGTGCGGTGTGAACGTGTTATTTTTACAATTCACAAATGACGCAGAACGAGTATTGACCCTCTGGATCATAATATATTTTGTTTTTGTTTACCATAGCAATTTTCTTATATATTTTTTTTACTACCACTCAATCAGATGTTTACGTTTCTATACGTTACGTTACGTTTTTCAGAAAATTAAAGGATTTGTAGAAGCGCAATTATTCGACGATTATGGCAACACCAATCGAATAGCCGTATTTGTGGCGATTTTTACTCCGCTTCATTTTCATTTTCTACGCTTTGCACATTTTAAAAGTGACAAAATGGCGAATGAAGCAAGCAAATTGCTGCTTTCTACACAACAAGAAAAACCAAATCATTACACGTAAATAAACAAAATACTTAAAAAATTTGTGATTTTTAGTGAAGTGCAATGTAAAGTTTATATTTACTTAATGCTTGGTGCACTGTGGTGTCTTTTAGGTACTTAAAGGAATTTCGCGTCGAGCAGTGTCAGTCTTTTCTACAGCACAAATGCAACCAGCATAGACCGTTCGTGTGTTTCAATTGGCATTTCCAAAATCAACGCCGCCGTCGTCCTGTCCGTAAACGAGATGGCACTTTTAATTATAGTGCAGATAATTATTGTACCAAATATGATGAAACAACAGGGATTTGTCCTGATGGTGATGAGTAAGTATGTTTTCTTGTTGCTATTGTTTTGCAACCAGTGACCTGTGTTTTGTCTGAGACAGCATACGTGATTGTCCTTCTTCCCCACCTCTTTGTGGGCAGTACGAGAAATTGCGTTTCCATTATTTCCAACACCTCTTGGCTAAGTACAGATCCTAACATTTGCTTCTTTTCTTTGATTTCGTCATTATCACCAATTGCTTTCATGTTTGCCTTCTTTGTTTTTGTTTTATTTTTGTTGTGCTTTAGCTCTATTTTGTGTTACCGATGCAAATTCGTTTATGTTTTTCTCCTATTTCACTTCTGTAACACAACGCGTACAATCTCCTTCGTTTGTCTCACTCATTCGTAATTCTGTTTATTATGGGAATTTCGGTACTTTCCACTTCGGTAGCGGTAGCAGACACCGGAGAAGCGAATTTGATACATTTTTCGAATGTAAATAAATATGAGCATAGGCAGACGCGTGTAGGAGTCGGTTTATTTATAGGGCATTCGCACGAGGCGATTTTACAGGCAACAAAAGTTGAATGCGGAGTTGAATGAGAAGTTGAAAGTGAAAAAGTTGCCATCCCTATTCAGACGAGGCGATTTTCAATTCAACACGAATAGTTATTTACATTATTTAAAATGAATTTAAATCGCAAAATTTTATCAATTGGCGTAAATTTGGTAAGCCAAGCGTTCGTAGAAGTGCTTTTAGCGAAGCTGAAAGATAAAATAAGAGTAAAAAGTAGAAAAGAAGAAAAAGTATGTATACAGAACAGTGTTGACATTTTTGGTACAATTGTACTTGTTTGATACAATTTCATTTACAATATACTTTCCTACTACGCAGTACTTTTTAGTACAATTTTGTAATCAATACTAAATATATATAGCTCTGAAAATTCACAGCAAGAAATTTTTTGTATTCTCTTTTGTTGTTTTGTTTTGAAAAATGGCTTGAACGAACCAGTATAATATAGCCTAGGCAAATTTTTAAAGAAACTTTTCGATACTAAGTTTTATTAAAACAAAATGTCGAAGTCAGCTTCATATAGAAACAAAGCCTTCGTTAGTTTTAAGAAGAGATTTTCTTAAATATAATACCTTTACGGCACTCACATATTGACAAGATTTTACTATTTATTTTATTATTCTTTAATTTTAATTATCTCTTTATAAAATATAATGTATTCTTTAAGAAAAACTGTATAAACCCAAGATTAAATCTTTGCGAAACAGCCAAAAGACAACATACTTTTGTAAAAATTTCGAGCTTTATTAATATTTTTTAGTTTTTAGCCCATTCAATTTTAGTATAATAAAGTGCAAGTTTAAAGTAGCTGGGACATACCGTTGAACTTGGCAATTTTTTTTGTCGACGATGTCCGCTGTCAGAAAATTAGCAACACCTTCATCAAAGAAATCTTAAAAAACTTAGTTATATTAAAATTTAATGGGCTAAAAAACCGCACACTCAAAATAAATCTAGGAAATCGAATTAAAAAGTTCGAAATTTTTACGAAAGTGTTGTTGGTTTTTTTTAATGTTGCACAAAGTTTGAACCTTGGATTTGTACGGCTTTTCTTAAAATATAAACAGTATTTAAAAAAAATAATTAAAATTGAATAATAATAAGCTAAATGGTCAAATCTTGTCGCAAAGTTTTGATAAGCACTTGAAGTGCTATTAAAATTTAAAATTTTAGTACTGAATCCAAAGGAAAATGTCTCTTTTATCCATAAATAATAACTTAAATATGCTTTTTGTTAAGATGTATACCTGAAAATGTGTACATAAATATTTGCGTTAAATGCAGTACATATGCGCGTGGAATCAATTTGTAAAAGTGTAAAATACGTAAACGTATGTACATAAACAATAAAACTTTCTCATGAATACCATAAAATCATTGGTCTTGAAGGGAATATACTAAGAAAATATATGAGCGAATTAAAAAGTATGTACAATTTATAGCCGAAAAGTACATTTTTTGTATAGATTTCGTACTGAAGGAATAATTTTATTTTCGAACACTGATACAGAATGTAAACAAACACAGGGTTGCAAGGAAAAAAAGTTGAACGAGCTCAAAGTTGGCTGGCGACCAACTTTGTTGAAAGCGATTAGTTGAAAGGCCGTTCGGACGAGGCGATTTTTGCGTTGAACTAAAAGTTGCCTGTAAAATCGCCTCGTGCGAATGCCCTATTACATTTTATTAAAAATTATTATGTATAAATCGAGGAAATCCAATTTTGCAAATAAAATTCATGAAGCACATCTAATCACTGCTAGATTCAAGGCATTTTGAAGAAAACGTATTTTTTACATTTTGGCTAGATTTTTATTTAATTTCTTACAAACAAGTTTTCGGTTTTAAACCTAATGTTAATTAATAAATATATTAATTAATTAATTTACATTAAAGTTTAAATAAAAATAAATATGTATGCAATCTGATCTAATGTTTATTCAAATTTAATTAAGTTTTAGGTCTATAAACGAATGTATTACTGGCATTCCAAAGTTAATATGAATATCTATAGATTTTTCCTCCTATAAGATGATTTTATTTACATATATTACACAGCTGTCCATTTCTTCATCGCACCGCTGGTGATACTGAACGTCGTTACCATTTGCGTTACTATAAAACCTGCATGTGTGTGCATGACACGGACAGTCGCGGGTATTGCGTTAAAAATGGACACCATTGCGCTTTTGCACATGGCATTCAAGATCAACGTCCGCCAGTATACGATATAAAAGAGCTGGAATCATTGCAGAATGCAGAGCTTGTACTCGACGGTACAAATGCACAAAATGCGTTGGACAAGGAACGCAATCTAATGAATGAAGATCCAAAGTGGCAGGATACTAATTATGTTTTAACAAATTACAAAACGGAACCATGTAAACGTCCACCNTCGAGAAATTGCGTTTCCATTATTTCCAACACCTCTTGGCTAAGTACAGATTCCTAACATTTGCTTCTTTTCTTTGATTTCGTCATTATCACTAATTGCTTTCATGTTTGCCTTCTTTGTTTTTGTTTTATTTTTGTTGTGCTTTAGCTCTATTTTGTGTTTCCGATGCAAATTCGTATATGTTTTTCTCCTATTTCACTTCTGTAACACAAACGCGTACAATCTCCTTCGTTTGTCTCACTCATTCGTAATTGTGTTTATTATGGGAATTTCGGTACTTTCCACTCCGGTAGCGGTAGCAGACACCGGAGAAGCGAATTTGATACATTTTTCGAATGTAAATAAATATGAGCACAGGCAGACGCGTGTAGGAGTCGTTTTATTTACATTTTCTTAAAAATTATTATGTAAAAATCGAGGAAATCCAATTTTGCAAATAAATTCATGAAGCACATCTAATCACTGCTAGACTCAAGGCATTTTGAAGAAAACGTATTTTTTACATTTTGGCTAGATTTTTATTTTATTTCTTACAGACAAGTTTTGGGTTTTAAACCTAATGTTAATAAATAAATAAATAGATTAATTAATTTTGCATTAAAGTTTAAATAAAAATAAATATGTATGCAATCTGATCTAATATTTATTCAAATTTAATTAAGTTTTAGGTCTATAAACGAAAGCATTACTGGCATTCCAACGTTAATATGAATATCTATAGATTTTTCCTCTAATAAGATGATTTTATTTACATATATTACACAGCTGTCCATTTCTTCATCGCACCGCTGGTGATACTGAACGTCGTTACCATTTGCGTTACTATAAAACCTGCATGTGTGTGCATGACACGGACAGTCGCGGGTATTGCGTTAAAAATGGACACCATTGCGCTTTTGCACATGGCATTCAAGATCAACGTCCGCCAGTATACGATATAAAAGAGCTGGAATCATTGCAGAATGCAGAGCTTGTACTCGACGGTACAAATGCACAAAATGCGTTGGACAAGGAACGCAATCTAATGAATGAAGATCCAAAGTGGCAGGATACTAATTATGTTTTAACAAATTACAAAACGGAACCATGTAAACGTCCACCTCGTCTTTGCCGGCAAGGCTATGCTTGCCCCCAGTATCACAATAGTAAGGATAAACGACGAAGTCCTCGCAAATTCAAGTATAGGTGAGGTTTGCTGAAAGCAGATATGCACATCGGTCCAAAACATTTAAATTTTATTTGTAGGTCTACTCCATGCCCAAATGTTAAGCACGGCGAGGAATGGGGTGAACCTGGTAATTGTGAGGCAGGCGACAATTGTCAGTATTGTCACACGCGTACTGAGCAACAATTTCATCCGGAAATCTACAAGTCAACTAAATGTAATGATGTACAACAAGCCGGTTACTGTCCACGTAGCGTTTTCTGCGCTTTTGCACATGTGGAACGTAAGATTAATTACTGATATATTATTAGTTTAGAGATCAAGCATTTACTTATTGTATTAATATACTCCTCACAATCTGTGTGTTTGCTCTTTTATTAACGGTTATTAATTTCACAGCATGTCCTATTGATGAACTTCGCGATAATGCGCTCTCAGCTAGTTTGGCTAACTCAAGTTTATTATCACGTTCCTCGGCGCCAATTAACATTCCTAGCTCCACTCTAAATAACTCTATGAACGGTGAGTGTAAGTTTTTCGCAAATTCTTAATTTGGATGTGATGCAAAACTTAAATAAATTTCATATAAATTTTACAGATTTTAATTCTGCCGGATTTTCTGTCAACATTCCAAGCAACTCGCTCACATACAGCCCAACCAGTCACAGCAATCTATTCAGCGTGTCAGATGCATTTAACTATACCGGTTCCAATACAAATAAATTAAGTAACTCTCTCTCAGCGGCCACTCAAAACGATAGTAGTAGTTTGTTTTTTCCATCGCGAATCATATCCCCAGGGTTCGCAGATGGTTTATCAATAAGCCCATCCGTTAGGTAATTTACTGTGTAAGCTTAACTATAGCTAAAACTAATTTAGTTTTTATGTTGCAGAATATCTGAATTAAACTCAATACGTGATGACATAAATAGCAGCTCTGTGGGCAATATGTTATTTGACAACACTTTGACTACCACGAAAAATGCATTTTCGTTGCAATCTCTACAAAATCAAAACAACTCAGATGTTAATCGTTTATCAACCGAGTTAATGACAAAGAACTCACAAATTCTAAAGCTAACCAATCGAATTGATGAAACTGCTAGGAAGGTATGTTTGTAGGTGTATTAAATTACCTTTAACATTTTTATGTTATGAGAAAAAAAAACAGGTGGAAAATGATGCTTTGATTTTTTATCAATAGTAACTTATAACAATTTCACGCCTTTGTAGTTCAGTCTAATAGTTACATATAATTGCATGAATACTGGGCTCAAATAGTAACATACGTTCACGGATCGAAAACCATACGCAAAAACAAAAAATTACGTGATACGTCAGTCATCCAAGATGAATGGGATAAAGAGTACGTTCACGTATGTCATGTGTTTTTACGTGACGAGTAATTATCCCATTCCGCTTATACGACTAACGGTTTCACGTAATTTTCTTTCTGGTGGTAAACTACACATTGATATTTGCTCTTCCACAGCTAAATTTGACTGAGTTGCAGCGGGACAAAGCTAAGCAAGAAGCAATGGAGTGGAAAGAACGTTATGATTTGGCACAAACGCAACTTCATTTGTCCACCGAACTGCGCAATTTATCTATACAAAAGCTGAAGCAACTACAGGTAATATTCTATAGAAACAACAATGCATTATTCTTCTATTAAAAAATTAAACAATTTTTCACAGTCCAAATTGCGTACAGATTTAGAAGATGTAGAAAAGGTATTATATTTGGAGAATGCTAAAAAATGCATGAAATGTGAGGAGAATAATCGCACAGTCACTCTAGAGCCATGTAATCATTTTATACTATGCGACTCTTGCGCCTGCTCTGTGACGGAATGCCCGTATTGTCAAGTGTCCGTAGTTACAACACACACTTAAAGCAACTAACAACACAAAAAAAAAAACTAACGCTTTCAGTACAAAAAGCTTAGTTATATTTGTTTCAATCAAATTATTTATTTAAAGTGTAAAAATAGGTTTTCAAATAACCAAGTATTGGACAAACATGAAGGAGAACAAACCAACAAATCATTAAACAGTCGAATTGAAATTAGCTTATAAGTAAACATATAAAAATTGTGTTATTCGCACAACTAGCGAATAAGTTTAGGTGTCAAAAATCAATGAAATCCTAACTAATATATTTAGTATAAAAAATAGTGCTATTAGAATTTTCAGTAACTAAACTTCCAAGCAAACAAAACAAAGCAATTCATCAAGAAGCAATGAAAACATGTTTCTATTCCATTCCTTTGCACTTAATATATTTACAAAAAAAAAAGAAAGCAAAAATTAATTCAATTCACATGTACACATAATTTTTTACCTTTTTTACCATTTTCATTTCTGCAAATTTGCATATGTATGTATGTAATATTTTAACATTATATTTTCATAAGTCAAATTGTGTCTGTGTTTTTTATTACCTAATGAAGTAACCGAATTTTATGTTCAAATATTCAATATGCCTCGGTTCAAACCAGTCAGTTTTAAAAAGTTGGTTTTGTATTGATATGACAATTTTTTGTGATCATAAAGAGCCTGTCAGACGTGGCAATATTTCCGTGTTTCGCACGCAATTCGCTGTCAAATTGAGAAAGAGAAATTTCATTTCGATGTGTGAACAGCCAGAAAGATCTTTCTGTCACCCTTCGGATATCAGTTTCAGAAATAAAAGTTGCAAGGTGGGACTGCAACAGCAAGAGCGAAAATCGATTTCGGAAATATATTTCAACTTGCTCGTGCTGCACTAGCAATTTTTATTTCTTCTGCAAGTGCTGTCAAACTAATCGAGTGTTGCCGTGTGGCCCTGATCGTGAATTTGTGTAAAATGACAAAAAAATAGTGTTGAATTAAATATCAAAAATGCTTGAAATATATTATTTTGCTTAATATACTTAATCGTAAAATTTTGGTTTTCACGACAAATATGTTAATTATAACCTATATTTTCTCGCTTTTACAAGAGAAATAGCAAACAAACGACAACCCCACCGCCCATGGTTGCATTTTAGTATCGAGAAAGATTGCCAGAAACTCATTCGCTGTGTGAACAGCCAAAAAGCGATTTCAGAAATTTTTCCTGCAATTCGCCGTTCGGAAATAAAAACCTCTTTCGAAAGACACTTTCCATGCAAGGTGTGACTGCTCATGCAACTGATTTCTCAATTTGACAGCCTTTCCGAAATTTATTGCATCGAAATATATTGCCACGTCTGACACGCTCTTAAGAAAATTTTGAAAAAAAGTTGTACATGCACTTGCTTATATGAAAATTAACACATACATACCTTATATGACATTAAACTTACAAAAATGTAAATTTATTTATATTTAATTTACTTTAACTCTTTGTTTAGGGACAAATCAATTAAATTAGTATTCTATTTTTGCTGTCATAGTATTAAATATGGACTTGACGTCACCAGTGCATCCTTATAACTGATTACTCTAATACTATTATAGGTTATATAAAATATTTTTTTCTTTTTAAAACCCGCAGTTTTAATTGTTGCAGTGATTTTTCATGATCATTAAATTAATATAATTAAAGCGAATCATTAAAAAAAATTGTAGATATATTTGTGTACAATTGATTTTTGTTAAATGTAAGGAAATCCATGAACAGAAAAATGGGTGTGAAGATTAAAGGTAAATTTCATCTTAAAGCATAGTATACAGTTCTCAAAAGAAACAAAAGTTCAAGAAATTGAAAAGAAATTTTCTTCTATCAAATTTTCTTAAAACAGTTTACACTTCTCAAGAACAACTTAGAGCAAAAGCAAAGTATTTTTTTCAAGCAACAGAAAAAAAAAATGTCTTCAGATTTTCTCGACAGCTGTATACTAAGCTTTCACACAAAAAAATTGTTCAGATCAGAAAATAAATATTTGGATTTTAGTCATTTTTTCATTGTATCTTTGGGGAATTTTCATATCACCAAAGTAAAACTTTATATAGCTGGATAATTTGCGCTGTATTATTTTAGCAATATCAATGTTTGGTTTTAGTTTAGGTTATTGGCATAGAAATGGGGAATCAGGTGACGGAAACTGCATACAAAATACAAGAAAAGAATAAGTTAAGGTTAAGTTCACAACTAAGGTATTTTCCCAATCCGTAATCTTTCTTAAGTTACCTTTCTAAACTTGTTCTTCAGCGCAATTCACTTTAGAATTGTAAATTTTGTTTGGTTGTAGAGTGTTTTAATATTTTTTTTATATACATATAGCGATTTCGAGAGAGTGCTCTAAATTGTAATGATTTATTGCTTCATGGTCATGATTTAAAATCCCTTGCATGTTGCTAAAGTTCCAAAAATTTTAACTAAATTTCGAGCGTTTCAACCACAATATATATAAATTATTTCGATATGCAGTTAACAACTTTATAAAATTTTAGTAAAGTGCAAGTTTAAAGCGGCTAAAAAATCGCAGGGATTTATGTTCTTTTTTTTTTTTGCTGACGGCTTTTGCGGTTTTTTTTTTCTAATATATATAGCGAACTTTAGGAAAACTGCCGTTGACATTCTTCCACAAATTTATGTTTACATGGAAAAAGTGCGAAACCCCTTCAAAAAAAAAAAAAAAAAAAAAAAAAAAAAAAAAAAAAAAAAAAAAAAATTAAAAAAATTTTGGTTAAAAAACTCGAAATTTAGATAAAAAATTGTGGAATTTTTCAAAATTCTGTATAAAGTTTGAAAGTGTGTTTTATATGGTTTTTGTTAAAGCATGCACCATATTTTTATAAAAAAATCAAACAAATTTTAACTTGAAAAACATTGTAAATATTGAAAACCAAACACCATTAATCCACTTTTGACCGCCACTGTACATACATATGTATTTTGGACTTCATTGCAATTATTCATGCGCAGCTTATTGGTGTGTAAATAGTGAATATAAAAAAAAAAAAATATTTCGTATGGGTCATCCCAGCGACGACGCCCCTGCAGTTAAAAAAAGATACATACATTTAAATCTGTGAAAACAGTAAAGCAGGTTGATTTATTGCTTAGGAATCGATATTTATCGCTCCTGTGATAGAACAGAAACAAGTAACTTATTTTTCTTTGGGTAAATTGGAGAAAATTAAAGTTTTGTGCATCCTACCTGTCACGTTGGAGTGTCCTATATACGAATAACAATCTATAAANCAGTTAAAAAAAGATACATACATTTAAATCTGTGAAAACAGTAAAGCAGGTTGATTTATTGCTTAGAAATCGATATTTATCGCTCCTGTGATAGAACAGAAACAAGTAACTTATTTTTCTTTGGGTAAATTGGAGAAAATTAAAGTTTTGTGTATCCTACCTGTCACGTTGGAGTGTCCTATATACGAATAACAATCTATAAAGCCCACCTACACCACAATTATGACAAAGAAAATAAAGGTATTTATGAAGTTCTTTTCGGGATCCAATTTTTTTAAATTTCTTTAATTTTTATTTTCAAAATGTTCACAGAATTTTAAACTTCTCGGTATAGCATTTTGTATAAAAAAATCCCATAAAATTCCCAAATTCCCAGAGTGGCGCTTAAACCAGAGCCGTAACGGTTATCATCTTTTTAATAAAAAAGTCATAGTTTAACCAGTAACATTGGATTTATATTTTTCCGAACAAATCTAATCATTATTTATGAGTTTTATTTTTAGATCAAAAATAATCGTTGTTTTTGTATTTTTATTTTTTCGGTAAATTTTGTATCGTAATTTTTTGTGTTTATTTTTTTTTATTTTTTGATCCTATTATAACAGTTCTTTTTAAGATTTAATTCTTTAGATCACAGAAGATTTAAATCGGTCACAAAAAAGCAGTCTCCATCATAACGGTTAAAAATGTTCGATAAAAATAAAATCACAAAATAACGATTGAATTTGACTGAAAAATCGAACAATTACGATTTTGCAACTATCGAAAAATAAAGATTTTGTTATTTAAATGTTATCTTCGGTCTCTGGATTAAACTCGTCTCCGGCAGCTAATGTAAACTTTTTTTTAACCGAATGTGAGTTAACTCTCTGTAGTTAAAAAGGCGTTTAAGCGTTTTCATTTCATTAAGGCATTCGCATTCAAGTTCCTCAGTCAGAATATTTTTACAAGATTTAGAAAAAGCACATAAAATTGCCAAAAACTATTTTTATTATTATAATTTTTTCATTTCCTTGGCTAAAGCAACAATAATTTACAACTTAAACAAGCGAAAAAAGTATAACAAATCAATTAAGAAAAAAATATTAGAATTATAAAAATACAAATTTAGTAAATTGAGCATTTTAGCGCGTTATATGCCTATGAAAATTCGGTATTTGTTCAAGTACAGTGTGATTCGATAAACTGCAGTTAGCAGCGAAAAGATTACCTCTTTTGTCCGGAATTAAAAGCAAATACATAAATGCCTCCATTGGCCTGAGTTACGTTCTGTTCAAGATCTGAGTTTGCAAAAAAAATCCGAAAAGTATATATTGAAATATTTGTACAACAAATTATTCAAAAAATACACAGTTTGATAGCAGTGCTCAGGAAAAGGGTCCTTAAGGGTGCATCCCAGTAGAAAATTTCAGGAGTTAAAAACCGTCCTGAGAGCCAAGAGGCCTTCCACTCTACATTCCTTTCTTTCTTTTTTTTTTGTATGGAGTGGCACAAATTGAAGGGCTTCTTCTTTCGCTACCCATGGAAAGCCTTGCAGAAGGGCTTTTATAGGACGTGAGACTATTTAATTTGTTATGTCTATTACAAATTTTTTGCTTAACACTTTTATTTTTTAGGTACGTCTGGGAGACACTTTTATAACTTGCCCGAATAAATAACCCTTATTTATGTACTTCCCTAAGTACGAGTACCTCCACGCCCCATTATCTAAAGCTCAACTTTATAAGCTTTTCATGCTCTACTTGCTATTTTATCGACACTTCCACTCTTTAAGGTGGACTTCAAAAGCAAGTAAAAGCTCGCATCCCTGAGGGGGTTATTGGGACCCCAATTTACGCAAATTTTATACACCTACCTTACGAAAAAAATACTAATCAATTTAAAAAAAAAAATCGCTCAATAGCATACCATCGAGTGTGACCGGGGTATTATTTAATTTAATAAAAAAACTAACATATTATGGCCAACTCAAAGTCAAATCCATTAATCAAAAAGATAAATATACTTAATCGTAGAGGGAAAACATCTCCGCATATTTGTCGTGGGGAAGTGCTATGCTGAGAGTTATCATTATAGAAAAAAAGTGATAGCCATACAACTTTTAATGAATACCATTATTGAGCTTTAATGCGATTTAACGCAATATACCGATCCCACCTCCATCTATCGAGAAAAAGATTACCACAAAAGTTTTAGAAAAAAAACTTGACCGCTGCCCAAATTTTTTTTGTAAAACTATTTCTCCCTATATACCAGCTAACAAAATATATTCTGAATATGATTGAAATTTTATCACTAATACGAATTTAGCAAGTATGTCTGTAAATCTATTCTACCTATTACCTGGTGGTCTACTTTTTTTAAATTTATTTAATTTATTTAATTTATTAATTTAAAATTTTATCACTAATACGAATTTCGCAAGTATGTCTGTAAATCTATTCTACCTATTACCTGGTGGTCTACTTTTTTACGAATTACGAATATGTCATCTTGTGAGTCATAGAAGAGAATAGAACAAAAGATATAGTTTTTGCAAATATGTATATTGTCTCTGGCGCGACCCATCACTAAAATTTTTTACAGAAATATTTATTTTAATGTATCTAACCTAAATACCAGTTTTAAAAATACTTATCGCGACTTTAGCGCCACCTACCGGTTACAGTTTATACCCATCGAGATGACTCCACAAGCTCAAAACAAAATTCCATCAAAATCGGTCGAATGTACAGTGGAACTTTACAGCCTATCTCGAACGATTCGTCTGCAGAGGATATCGTCTCTGCCTGCAATTTTGTAAGTCTGTCGTTCGTCTTGTCTTTATGTCGATTACGTCGCAACCACCTCCATTAGGTTTCAACTGGCTAGAATGATATTGCCGAACTAATTTTTGAAGTATTTTTTAAAGCCCAGCTTATTCCAGCTAAACAGTTAGGAAAGTCCGAAATTTTCGCCTTTGATTTCAATGTACAGAATTCTGGAGAAATTTTAATCAAATATCTAACACATTTCACTGTTTCCTGAGACTTGAAAAAGAGGGTTGTAATAGAAACCGATGCTTTTAGAAAAAGTCTGAGCCACCCTAACGCCCCAAAATAATTTTTAATGAGGTTTATTACATTTTTTTTTTTATAAAAACGCCATTAAGAGTGATTTGGAGAGTTGCGCATTTCTCAACTGGCTAATAAAATAATCAACGTATTAAAAGTGATAAAATTTTTTAAGCAATTTTTAATAACTATGTTTTTGATGCAACTTAAACCACTCTCTTAAAGAATCATTGACAGACAGCTCATCGTTTTAATATTTTTTTTTTTGTTTTATTTATGCGTAATTCATTTCTATGTTTATTTTTTTCTTGAACAGAAATTTGTGAATTGAAAGTGAATTTTTTTTGAATTTTTTAAAAATTTGCTACCCTACTACGCTTTATCCTATTTTGACTACGCTTTTTTATATTTCATTCAACTTTGTTCATTTTTGTGTAAAAATTCGCCCCTAGTCCATGAACAACTTAAGCAAATTTATAAGATTTTTATTACTTTATTTACCAAAAAAAAAGCTTTACTTATGAAAAATTAAGAAAATCATACTATCAGATTATATATTTTTAAGTTTGGTTATATTTATATTAAGATGGGAAATTTTTTTTTTTATTTTTCGAGATAGGATTCGGGGCACCTTTCCAAATTTTTCCTCTTTTCAAAAGAGGCGCGGGCACGATTATTTACGTTTCTAGTTATAAATTTAGAGGATGCTTCGGAAAGGTTTATATTTTACTCTAGAAGTATTTTGTACATATTAACCAAACAATTGCTTAAGCAACCTTAGAACATTTCAAATTTAAATTAGTTGAAAAATTATTACAAACTTCAGTTGTCATGGCAACAGTAGCTTGTTAGAAAAAGTCAACCATATTTTGTCAGTTTCACATGGGTTCATTAGCGCATTTCAAGGTCATTGGCTATTGGTTGATACTTGAAAATTGAGAGTTGGTATACTATATATCTGTGGTCATCATGATGCAGTAATACGAGGTGATATCAGTTGTGACAGCTCGTTTTGATACTGCCTTAGCTCAGTAGAATAAGAAGAAAAACAGGACGAAATTAACCCATTTTCTATGATGACATTTTTTCCCCATACAAAACTTGGACCACTCACCACACCACATACATTAGACCGTATCAGAAAAAAAAGTTCCAGGTACACCCCTGACTCTAAAGCACTTTTGCAAGGTGATTTCGGATTTTTTTTTTTGCCGAACATAGGGATCATCATTTTGCATTTGCAGTCGGATCTTAAAGTAGGATATAGCGATGGTAGAGAAAATTTTTTTGTTCCAAAGTTCATTCACCTAAAGCTCCTCGTTCTAGTACTGACCCATCAGATCTCGGTTCTTATTACCTTAAAATACCACCCTAATGCCAGTAAACTAAAGCTCGCCAAAGACCATTAAACTTTTTTAAAGGAGTATTTCGATTCCAAGGCACTTGCAATTTTTTTCGGCCTTCTTTGGTTAACCAGACATTGAGTAACCGGCCCTGAGAAACGCCTTCACCATGTCTGGTTGACACAAATCGGCAGTTAAACATCGTTACCGACGTTACTGACTCCATGAACATAACATTGTGTTAGTAACGTCGGTAACGATGCTTAACTGCGGATTTGTGTTAACCGGAGATGATAAAAACGGCTTTAAATCACCTATAAAAACGCTGCCTCCATTGTACCGATTAAAAATTAAATTCCAAAATAACAATTAAATATTTATGATCGAAGAAAATAAAAGTCACAAAATAACGATTTACATTTGACCGCAAAATTTAAATCAAAATTTAACGATTATTTATGATCGAAAAAGTTATAATCAAAAGATACAGACTTTGATATTTAACGGTTATTTTCAGTCAGTGTGTAGAACTACTTATTTAAATTTTTTTATTGTCGAATGTAAGTGACCGAAAAATATTAAAAGGGTGCGCCTTGGTTCGAACAATTTGTTTTTTCGAAATCGCCGTGCAAAAATACTTTAGCCTCAGGGGTGTACGTCGAATTTTTTTTTTGCTTCCTTGTAAGCTGATTCGGTCTAATATGCATACATATCGATGGCTGAGTGGAAGATCGACCTATCTCGGCAGCCAGTTCGAAAACGCTCTATCTCAAAAAACTTTTCAAGAACGCCCTATTTCAGAATTCGTTTCAAAAATGCCATATATCAGCTGCCGATTCAAAAACGCCCTATATCAGCATATTTTCAATACAATTTGAAGTGAGATAGGGCATTTTTGAACCGATTTGTGAGATAGGGTGTTTTTCAATTAAATTCTGAAATAGGGCGTTCTTGAAAAGTTTTTTGAGATAGAGCGTTTTCGAACTGGCTGCCGAGATAGGTCGATCTTCCACTCAGCCATCGATATGTANCATATCGTTACCTTAATGTATAAATGTCCTAGATCAATTTTTTCGAAATACAGCTCTGCAAAAAAGTCGGTAGTAGATTACTCTCTAAAGACTTAATTGAATTTAAAATCAGCTATTAAAAGCCAGTGTAATGAAAAAAATCACAACTGAAGAACTTTAGTTTTTATAAAGTTTCCTAACTACCATGTAATGAAACAAAAATTTTATAAAGTGTCTCTCTATATTAAGGTAACAATATGTACATATGCACTCGTATTTGTTTACATTATTAAGAAAGTTTATTAATTTCTAAAATATTTCACAAGTATAAATAAACATACATACTTATTATAGTTATATATGCAGGTATATATGGTGTCGGGTATAAAAATGATAACTTCTCTTCACTTTTTAGAAAAGTTTTCCTGCATTTACTTTGAAATATTCAAAACTACAGGAAATATATTTTTTGTATTTCTATTGGTATTCGTATTAGTCGACCGAGAAAGGAGTATGACACAACGTACGGTGCACTTTTTTGGGGGGTGTGAGTGATCCTAAATAATAGGTAAACACATAAACAAATTTTATGAAATATTTTCAATTGTGATAATGACCCAAAATTCAATAATAAAAGGTTTGCTCAGAAAACAGTTTTCTCACTCCCTCTTGACAAAATCTCGGCTCTCTTAGTGTGTGGGTGCGTGTATGTGTATGTAACACTGAAAAAATTGTGTAAATTTCCTAGCTAAAAGGTATGTTACAGATTTCCTACCTTATTATACGCGAAATTACATACTCGATTATTCAACGAATAGTTTCTTTAAATTTCGGACTTGTTTATAATGTGATATAGCTGCTGTGGTGTGCGTACATTTACTACGAAAGTGTGTACAAGCTACAAAATACACATCTGCTGTTTGATTTCACCCGTAGAATTATGTAAAGCCGCTAATAAAAAGCATTTTTACACACGAAAATGTGTAAACGAGAGAAATACATATTCATCGTTTAAATTTACCAAAAATATTTTAAAATAAACAAGAATATACTCGATTTATAATCGCATTTTTAAACAGATTTTGTAGAGTGAACCTTTTGTAAGGGAGTTAATTATTTTATTACTGAATCATGATAATGAACTAGACATAAAAAACTCGGAATTTTCCAAATCTGATTTCGGGTTTGCTCTGTTTACTTTGGTTGGAAAGATATTTGATTTATAACTGAGCTAAGTTTAGTCGATATCAGAACAAAAAAAAAAATGGTTTTTGTGATGAACATTTTTCAACTCTGGCGATGTAGTGTTCATAAACGGCAAACGATACTTAATAAATTTTGTTTTTGTTTGAATGATATTAACCGAAGCTCGAAAGTCCGAAAATTTGGCTAAACTAAGTTAAATTGAGTTGGAGAAACCAGCCCATATATACTCGCTGAAATACAAAAAACCGTAACTAAGTAAATATTCAAAATTCCCTTTTGATTGATTATGATGCATTTCATCGAATTCTAAAACCGCACATTATTTTAAGCAATAAAAAATTTTAGTCAGTTATGGCTTTTTTGCATTTCAGCGACTATATGTGTTGGCGTCTTTCTATAAAAAACTCTTTAAAGTCAAAAAATCTTATAGTTTTCGAAAAAAAACTTGAAGGGTTATTGATCACTCAAACCCCTAAAAAAGTACACTGTGCAACGCCCAAATCGGCTTGTATCCGTTCCAAATTTAAAAAGGGATGATGGAAACACATTACAAAATACATCAGATTTCTTGCAGCTAAGCACAAACTAAACTTATTTGATTGAACCTAACAAAACTTGAGTTATAGCATTGTATTGAAAAGTGGTTATCAATTAAAAAGAAAAAAAAACAAAAAAAAAGATCGAAAACCCCGCGAATTGCTGCTTTACATAGAATATTCAAATAAATAGAAATCAAATGCAAATTACAAACATAAAAAAAACGAAACCTAGTTAGTGATTTGATAGTTAACAATATGAAAACAAATGGAACAGCAAACGAGTTAGAAGCACAATGAATGAAAGGACCCGATTAGCATGTATGTAAATGTAACAATCTTAGAACAATAAAAGAAAATATTGCAGTAAGGCTTGAATTACATATACATACATACATACATACATATATACATACATAAAAATAGTGAACTCAAAAGTAGTGCAAGAGTTTCGCAAAAACTTCTGTGTATATATGTTTACAACTTGTAAAAAAAAACAAAACTTAAAACAAAACACACAATTATGGTTGAAATCAATCTCCGCAACAGAATGTTTCAGGTTAAGTACTATTAAAACTAACTGAGAACACCGAACAGGAATTTTATATATTGGTACAAGTATACTTTTAAGAAGCGGTGCGCAAGATACTTCTTAAAAAAAAAAAATTTAATTAAAAATAAAATAATACTGCTTAGCAACCCAATCTGCTAAGCCACAACTATCCGATACAAATCCACTGATAGCATTTACCAAAATTTTAGGTGAAACTATAACATAAAAAAAAATATATATATAATATAGTAAAGCAACATTGAAAATTTACTTGCTATTCGTATGTATGATGTAAAATTCTAACCACAAAACAACAAAAAAAAAACATTTTCTGTTGGCACTTTAGAGTTGTAAAAATGTTAGCGAACTAGACAAAAAAAAAATAAAAAATTTAGATGACTTATCTACCACCAACCAATTAACTAATTAACTGACTAATTGAATAATACTATTTACGAGTATTTGCCGCAGACACGAGAAGCATACAAATTTACACCTTTTTATACTAATTTTTGAGTGATTTTTGTTTTAATACAGCGTATATACATACATATGTACATATGTATGCACGTACATACATATGTAGATGTATGTACAAGTATGTATACATAAACAGCTAGCTAGAAACGTGTTCGGTGTGTGCTGGGCGATTTCAAAGTATGTAATTACAAATGTGTTAGTTAAACTATGAGAATCACAAAAAAAAAATAAATAATAAAAAAAATCTAAAAAAATGCAAGTGAAGATATTGAAATAGTTACAAACTTTTGATTTATACTATTTTATGTAGATACACTAAATAAAATATTAATTAAAATATATGTATGTAGCAACAACTACAGTCAAACTATATATGTATGTACATATATATGTACATTAGGCTGGGTCGATTTTGCATGCGGGAAAATAAAGGCGCTTTGATTGATTTGTAATAGTGATATTATTTATGTTGTCTTAGGACTAAGCGAATAATAACACAGGTTTACAAAAATAAAGTTTCTGTGTATTAAACTAAATCTCTATATCCATATGTTATTCGACACGCTGAATGCAAATCCAAGGTCTGTTAGCTTCCATCACGTCAGGTTCGAGGTCATTTCAAGGTCAAGTAGGTAAAACTTCATTGAAAAAACTTGAAAATTCAATTAAATTCTTCTGAATTTGTGCTTGAAATGACCTTGGTATGACTTCTAGATGACCCTGAAGACGCCAGAGAACCCTCATATTCGGATTCAGCGACAACTAAAAGCTATGCAAGTGTATTTTTATCTTTATTCAACAAAGTTTTCCCTATTTGAGCCTCAAATGACTTCGGACCTGACATTATGGGGGTTAACGGATCTCAGATTCGAGTTTAACGAAGTGAAAAACCCATATACATATATGAATTTTCCGCTATTCAATATTCTTTCAATGAATCTTTCGCTATTTCACTCGGAAGTTAATTGCAGAACCTGCATGAATATGAAGAAACTTTTTTTTTGTAAACCTGTGTAATTGATCACAAAGGTAAAATGTATCCTTGCCCTATCTTTGTATAAAGATTATAAAATTAGTACATATTTCACGTTCATATATGATTTTTCAATAAGACTTCAGAGTTGTCGATATATTAACAAACAACATACAAGAAATATATTTTTTTTTTAATTAAAATTTTCAGTATCTCGTTAATTCAGTAATCTAGTGAATAACAGGTATATTCTGCACGTTACCGATAATTTTGTAATCGGAAAATTTTATTACCAAATATTAGGTGTGTATAGTAACAAATAGTCAGTTTTAATTTGTAGTGGAACCTGCAAATCCTTGATTTAAAAAATTGTGTCAATCTCAATATTTGTGAGTTACACATTCTTCAGACAATGTTGAAAGGATCTTCTCCATTATATCAAGCTATAATTTTCTTATTTTCGTCAGTGATGGAAAATATAGGTTTGCGAATTCTAGCTATCGAAAATGGTCCTAAGTTCGCAATAATTCACAAACACAAGCCAACTCTTTTGAGCTAAGTGTATAAGGAAAAGAAAAAACGCGAGACTTACATCCCAATTCTGAATACTCCAGGGGAGTTTGGTCTCCAGGAATTTGTTTCTCTCAAGAAAGAAATTCTCCAATAATTAACTACCAAGGAGTAGCATTTTCTCCGAAAATTTGGGAGGAGGAAATTCGAAGTTCGAAAGAGCTGTTTGATCCTTTTTTCATAGCCCAACTATGCCATTTAAAATAAAAAATCCTCAGGAAATTTTTATTTTTGATAGCAGGAAAGGGAAAATAGAGAAAACTCCCAGAGAGTTTCTGTTCAAAATCGGCCTGTTAGACAAAAATCTCGCTAGAGACGTGTAAACACTCAATAGGGCTCTACGAGACACTCACCTACACAGTCTACGTGAGAGTTATTTATCGAGACTTTTTCGTCGTGTACTAGTGTTGGAAAACTATCGATAGTGTTACATTCGATAGTTTCGATAGTGATAGTGCAAAGTATGCGATAGTAGATAGATAATAGAGTCAATGACTATTTCCAAATTTTTGTTGACCTTATTTCGATTTTGAAAAGGTAATGATGTCAATTGAGTTTATTTCGCAACAAGGTTTGTTGAAGAAAGGCAACCCTAAACTAAAGGCTATGTGATATGGATTTCCGGATTAATTTAATAATATAATAACCAAACCTTTTTCCAAAACCCTGAATTCGTACCAAGGATAGAATTTTAGAGCCTTACAATTGACCTCATAAAACAACATCTTTTAACTATTACAAAACGATTAAAGGAAAATAAAAATCTCGACCCGCACTAATGTATGTATGTACATATATATAAGTATATCCAAAAAAATGTTAATTGAAATAATAAATAAAAAAAAAAAATACATAAATGTGTAGTAGTTATTAAATTTCGTGTGCATGTATGTAATTATAAAAATTATTAAATATATACGATGGAAATTTCCAAAAGTGAGAGGGATATGAAATTTTACAATTCTCAAAATTTGAAAACTTAACAAAGAAGCTAAATATTAGCAAAAACAACAACTAGTAACGCAAAATTAGTGAAACTATCCTAAAAAAACAAACGATTTAAAATTGAGCAAATAGCAAATAAAAAGGCAAATTGGTTTATTTTTAGGCAATAAATCGAAGTAACAATAAATCTAAATGAAAGTATAAAAAGTCAACTCACAATAGATAACTATTTATTAAAAATTAACCAACTATTAATAAATAACACTAAGCAATTATAACGGTAATAGCAAGCATAGAAAATACGAGTAGTACATTATTACAATAAAATGTACCGA